AATAGTCGAAAAACCGGCCAGACTTGTGAGATGCAAGAATTAAAGTGAATCTCTGCAACTTCTCCTCAAGTCTCTTCCTTGCTTCTCTGATTAATCCTCTCTTTGCTTGGCATGAGAATACGCTCGGACTGTGTGTGTTTGTAAGTTAATAGTTTTCATTTACTATAAAGGTGGAATTGATTTACTTAATAGGTGAATTCTGAATGCTGCTGGTTGCCCTGGATTTAATTTAAGGGTGTCAGAGTGAAGGGGAATGCATACTAATGAACACCTCAGATTTTTAAATAAAATTGTATTTGTTGTTTTTCTTCAACTTCCCAATAATGCTGTAGTTTTTGTTGGTGAGTCACAAAAAAATCTTGCAAAAATAATTTGAAATGTATGGCTTCAACACGACGACAAACCTCAAGGTGTGAAGGTATTTTAAGTAGCGAAAATGTCAATGGAGTAACGGTTATTGTTTTGTGTGAGTGTGAGCAGCAGTCAATAAAAATAACGTTCTCCTTTGTTTTTATTAGGAGAAATGAAACAGTAATAATCCTGTTCAGGACAAATCCACTGAGCTCCTGAGGCAAAGCGGGTTATCCCCTGACAAATGATAAACCAAGTACTAGAGCCTCAAGTTAAGTTTCCTTCAAGTCTATCAATACCAGCTAAAACAAGAGCTGAATGGGAAGGCTCCCTATCAGTCATTTCCCCCAGAGCAGTTGCTTAAGCGCTGTCTGTGTGGTTAGAATCTTAAAGGCGAGGATCCACACTCACACTGAATGCCGCTGGGTATTTTGGAAAGAAAGGGGCACTGAGAAAAGAAAAACATCAACAACAACAAAAAACACAAGCTCAACATGTGGAAAATGTGAAATACCTCATAAGTCCACAGCCAATCCCCTAATTTTGGGAGCATTAACCAATTTACTTATTTCTTATTACATGTTTTTTTCAGTGAAGCTGATAGGGACATGCACTTGGGATTTGTCTGTTTATCCAACACAGTAAATGAATAACTCCGGACAGAAAGTAGAAGTCCTTACATTGAGATGACTAAAGAACTGTTGATGTCGGCTTACTGGGGACATTCAGGCTGCGGTGGATTAGCTTCAGGCCGGAGAAAAGCAGAAGAATTGAAATGCAAATAAGATGGGGATTACTGAGAGAGCATTCACTTCACAAGTGACTCCTGTATTAACCGGTGAATTACTGGTCATGATTGGGTGAAAAAAGGCTGATGATGAGCTCAATAGTAATTCACCTTTGTTTTGTTATGCTATTTACAGAAAGTTAATATGTTTTAAACACAAGCAAATATGAGAGTGTTTACCTTCTTGTTTATTATATTACTGAGAGTACAGTTTGTATTCTTGTCTTTCTTTTTTAGTCTCATCAGCATTAAGATTTTTTGTTTTTGCTAACGAATTTAAGGTCCAAGAGAATCATTTTGGATTCTTTACGTATGCATATGACATGGCTTTGATAGCTGTGGGACTAGAAATTGTATAGGAAGGAAAAATGATTTAAAAATATATTTTACATATTTTACTCTTTACTCCAAGATAAAATCCATCCCAAAGAATGTGACAAACCCAGCAGGAATAAAGTTGTAGAGATTTTTGAAGGAGCATTAGGTCATAAAATAATGTCACAGGCTTTTGGACACAAGTCATGTTAACTTTGGAAGAGCTGCAGAAACCTAAAGCTCAAGTAGAGCGTGTTTACAGAAAAAATTTTACAATTAAAAAATTTTGGGAGCATTAACCAATAGAGAAAACGACTATTTGTTTGGCACTGCACATGTTGTATCTTTGTGAAAGATTGGTGAGATTACTAAAAGAAAATCATAAGTTCCATTTGAGCTTTGCGAAATATGGACTTTAAATATGTTGGAACTTGTAAACCTTATGATTTCCTGAGGCGATAATTGTAATAAAAAGTTTGAGAAGTACTCTCTTATGAATTTTGTAAACTGTTGTTCTGCTACAGAAAGACTGTTTTCACTGAGCTTTGCTGCAACATCAACGCAAAAACACAAACATCTTTTTTTTTTTACATATAACACGTTTGATAATGCAATGAGTTGCAGTTGAATCCAAAGAATGATGATGCCAAATGAGAAATTAAATCTCCTCAACTTCAAAAGCATGCTTTCTGCAAAGCCAGAACCGTGAAATTTGTAGCTGCAGGGGAGGCACTGACTTGAAAGTGTTCAAATTTGACTTCTCTTTTGTAGTTCCTCAGATCTGTGAAGAATATCAAAGTTATTTACTGACTTCCTTCAACCTTATCAAAATGCACCTCGTCCCTAAGTATGTTCCTGTTTTAACTTTGATTAGTGTTGCAATTAAGTGTAGTTGTAAACATATTTTTCACACAAAAATGTGTTCATTTCCTTTCACTGTGTTATCCTAAAGCTAAAACTGCATAACAGCAGATAAGCGTGGTAGCAGTGGTGAACATGCCACAAAGCAAACTAATGTGAACTACACAAGCAATTAAGCTATGAGACACAACGTTCTCTAGGTAAACATCTCCCTCTGCTGGCAGCATTCATTCATACCACATCAAACCGACTAAAATTTCTGCTCTTTCATTCTGATTAGGTAGGAGGAATTGAGAAGCCTCTTTTGCTGCACCCCCTGAGGGTTATCAAGCTTTCCTACAAAATGAGGACAGATGGGGAGTTGATTTTTTTTCTCCACTTCTAGTTTCTACTGCTCTTTTATGCACAAAGACTGCAATATTCAGGAAAGATATAGACTATGATCAAAGATGCAAGTAACAAGGAAGTGACTTATTTTGACTGTAGACGAAGCCAAGAAAGAGGGCTCACATTAACCTTAAAGTCTCTTTAAAGTTAATGTGTGTATTTTTAGAACTGATTTTAAGGAGCATTTAATGACCTGTTAAAGGGGTCCCACTTACTGATTGTATTTCTCACACCAACTACAAGAAATATATTTTGATAAGGCTAAAAACATAAACCATATAGTTCACACATAAGCTCACATCACAATATTTCACTCAGACTTAATGGATTGTGACTAGCTTTTCCAAAACCAGAATTTTTGGGGGTCTTCTAAGGTATTTAGTTACACTAGTTGGTGTACTTTGAATCACTGTCTTAATCCAAATAGGGTTATGAACCAAGAGTCTGAGATATTTACTAAAGATTTTCTGCTAGAGAGCAGAATTTGATTCCATAATTTGCAGCAAGATGTCTGCAACAAATCTCTTTTTCTGTCCATTAAATATTTACCTTATAGTCTTTGGATCACCATAATGTTTTTGTGCAGGGAAATGAGATGACCTTATTGGTGAATCATGAGGACTGACCTTATCTAAAGCAAGTTAACCTGACAGTGCTTTAGGCATTGTTCTAGGTTCCTGTGTGACTTCCTGGATAAGTTATTGCTTGAGGTAAATTTGGTAGCATACAAGGCATTTGAAAATGTTTAATTTTCAAATGCCAGTCTCCATTTGTAGATAATGTATCTCTCTTGTTCACAGGATAAATAACTTTGTAAACCTTTCAATGCTGACAGATGTTAATGACTTTCAATGTGTCCTTGGATTTCTTTCAATGGGCACATGATGCCTATCCATACGGCCAGGTTTATTTGAAACATTCAGATATTTGTTTTCTTTTTTCTTTTATTATTTTGTTGAATTTTTACTATTTGTGACATTATTTTGACACATACTTTGGTATTTTAGAACACATGCATCTTAGGATCTTTGTCTTTCATGTCTCATACTCATCAACACAATTTTTTCGATGATGAGTTAGCGAAACAAGGCTAAATCCTCAGCCTTGCTTAGCTAATTTATTTGGTGTGCTTATTTGTTTGTAGTTGTTCAAACACACTTTTGTGTGTCCTTCTCAAAAGTGCTTTATAAGACTGACTTGATTAGTTTGAAGAAAGAGACGATTTGACAATCAATTCCAGTGTGAGCAGCTCTAAGCATGGGGTTTTCGTTTCAGCTCAGGTGATTTCCTTTACCATTTCTAAAGAAACTAATTGTGCCTGACAGTAAATCATTTCAAAATGAATTCTTCCTGCTTATTGTTTGTATTTTTATTTTAGACATTTGTCTCTGACAGAAAATCTTGAAGCGACTTTTGTTTTCCCACATTATAAAAACAGCCAACAAGCAGATCAAAAGCACTGCTGTCACTGACAGAGGGGAGTTGAGAAGGTTTAAAATTTAGGGAGATCACCACAATTATGTGCTCTTTGTCTGAGATTCATCGCAGCTTCGAAATGAGGACAAAAAACAAAACAGCACCTGCTTCAGCACCTGCAAATCATTTCAGTTGTTACGTACACTCTGAAAATATATTTATAAATTCTAAATCAAGTGAATCATTACTCTTCATCGTAATTTCAAAGCACTTTCAGACCTGGCTTTTTTCTGTTAAAAAAATATATATACATATTGTATATATAAAGATTAAAATCTTCATAAAGTTCAAGACAAAATCTATTCCTGTATTTTCTTTCTGTCTCAAAAATTATGGATGAGAAAGGGGGGGCAAAGTACTAAATTTCCATGTGGCACAGTGGTAAAGACAGACAGGCAGATGACCTCCAGATTAAAGTCATCTGCCAAAAGATGAGGGAGGTCATCGCAGCGAGAGGATCAGTTACTTTCTACTGTGAAAGAATGCATTTTCCAGGATCAGTGGAGCTGTGACCAGTCAGTCACTTGGTATGCAGAGACACTATTAATGAGATTTTAAGCAATGCCCAGTTCTCATTGTATTGGTAAATCACGTTTTGCACCAGCAATTGAAGTTAATGGAATGTCAGAAATACTGACTTTGAATCAAATAGAAAGCTAAAGCACCCTCCACTATTTTTGGTGTCCCTGGAAAAGTTGTGTGCAAAAGCTTTAAATGTACATACAAAATTTATGTTAAATGTTTCTTCCCCTCCCTTTTATCTTTAAAGTTTCTTTCTCTTTTATTCAACAAAATCAACAAATGATTTATGTCACAGAAGAGGTATAAAAAAATGTTTTTAATGGACCCATTGTATAATAATCAAACAACTTGCCATTCTTGAAGTGAATACAGTTTTAAAATCCAACACTGTTCAACATAAATTTTCCAGAGGTTTCTGAAACCTTACAGACTGTCATAGATTTTGCAGTGTAGATATGCCAGTTTCTTTTCCCTGCTTTTCCTCATCATTGAAAACCACTCCCAGTGGTTCAGCTCTACCACCCTGTATCCTGCAATTTTCAAGTGTCGTCTCTTCATGGCATGAAGCCCCAGCAGCTGCTGTGTCTGTATGCAGTAGTGGTTCCTGTTTGAAATCTGGACAGCAATTTTGACTGAGTCATTAATGTCTTGGTGAACCGAGTCCTGGTTAGTACGGACGCTGTGGCTCGGTTTGGTGAGGGCTTCTAACATGTCATTGGTCAAATCTAGAACTGAATCAAACACTCTCCCACCTTCATCAGGTGGTAGCCTTTGGCGTGGTGTCTCTCCAACTGAGGAAGCTGCAATAGTTGTTGGAGGAAGCGCAGTTGAGTTTTTGCCTTTTATTAATTGTGATAAAAGATTGTCTGTGATCGTTACTCCTGAGTTTATTTTCTCCCAGCTTTGGGAAGAAGGAACCATTGTGGAATTCTGCGTAGGGGACAGTTGGTTCACAGGTATTGGTTGTCCTTTGGGGTCCATATGTATTTCCAGATCGATGGAGCGAGTATGTGGCATGATCATTCTTTTGCATACAAATTTGTCTCCACCAAGAAGATCCTGAAGAGCCGATTCTGCCTCCAAAACTTCTGGTTTCAGGCAAACGTCCGACTGTGCAAACTTCCACAGCATTTCCGCCACCTCTTCTCTGAGCTCGTCACTCAATCGTGGGCCTTTCCACTGAGGAAGCTCCAGAGCCACAGTTGCATCCAAGGTGAACAAATCTTTTTTCAGATCTAGCTTGGAGTTACTCAGTGCTAAGTGGACATACTCAGGACTTAGAGCTAATGTAACAAGATCCTCTGGAAACTGAGAAACAAAAGCCAAACCTAGAAGACCAGTCAGCAGGTGTTCGGGGTATCGCTGGAACTCTGCTTTCCTCTGCCTCAGGGCATCTGTCAGGCTCGAATACAAACTCTGACTCTGAGCTGGAAGGAAGCCTAAGGTGGAAAAGGCCCACAGGAATTTGCTTGAGTCTTTACTCCTGCAATGTGGCACAAGAGAGGGAACTCTCTCTGCAATTGAAGTCAGGATGCTATCATTGCGATAATGAAGAGCTGAACAAGTTAAAGTCACATGCATCAGGCCCTGGACTCCCATCTGATGAGCCCGTTGAGGAACTTCCCTTCCCATGGCTTCCAACCATTTCCTGTGAAAGAGATAGCTGAAACGCAGGTATTTCAACACATTGACCATTGCAAAGTCACCCATCTCAGTCACAACAGAGAGTGCCTTATCAACAATACGAGTCACTGCTCTCTCTGGAAGTGAGGTTTGGGATTTAAAGAGTCCCAGACATACAGTGCCAACCTCCTCAGGATGCATTTGTGCTAAATGATGCATGAGAAGTTGCTTTATAGGAATGATCAAGTCTTTTGGACAGTGCCTACCTTCTCCTATTATATAAAGGAGCTGCACCAATTCATGGACTTCTACTTGTCCTTTCTCCAAATAAAGATGAATTGACTCAAAGAGACACTGCAAGAACTGCGGCACCTGTCTCCCAATACAGCGCCACAAGTCAGCAGCTAATAATAACTGATGTAGAGTCAGCTGGTTGGCCCGACAGCTCAGTTCGGCTTCGTACACCTCGAGCACGTTGTGGGACGAGGGTATCTCCAACCACACAAACGACTGTAACACCTCCAGCAGCTGTAGGTCAGAGAAGAGGCGGAGGTGCTCTACAGAATATCGGAGAAGCATGACAAACCGCTGGTCATTTTGCAGCAGAGGCATCTGGTCTGGGTGCAACTTGCTGAGTTCCAAGAGAAACTGCAACACGTCAGGTGGCTTCATCCTGGCCCTTAAAACACACACTTTTTGAAGTAATGGCACCAATTCTGCCCATTCTACTGGTTGAGGTCGCTGGGTGAGGTCAAGGGACAGGGAAGCATACTCTGGTCTGCATTTAAGGAAGGCCCGTGTGTCAACTTTAACATCTGGTGCGACTGACTTCCTGTTGTAGGACGACACAGATGGTGCTTCAGTTTCAGATGCTTTGTTTAGACCTAAATCAAGAAGTGTGTTTTTGGAGCTTGAGAGGTGCCGTGAGCAACTCACGCTGTAGTGGTTGCTCTGCTGCCAAAAGGAAGCACTGAAAAACTGCTCATCTTCAGAGCTATTCATCCTATTGCGAGAATTAGCAGAGGTCCTTGTAATATGGTATGACAAAGGATTGTAATACAATTTGTATCCACTTTGGAAGGAAACATCCAGGTGATCCGATACATTCTTGTTTTCCTCCTGTTCGCTTATCTTTTCCCTTGTTTTGGTGTGAATGTGTTGACCTTGGGTGAGACTTCTTCTCCAGCCAGGGAGGTAGCAGACCCGCCAACATAGCACACGGGTGGCCATCAGTGTGCCACGCTGAAACAATATGAACACATGAAAATCCAGTCAACTTGAGTATAGAAAGCATTTATGCTGGAGCGGTTTGCAGTGTATTTGCACCCCTTGAACTTTGTTGAATTTAATAATAACCAACACAATTTGCAATATATTTTATTAAGATTTCCCATGATACACTAATACAAGGTAGAGCATGATTGTAAAATGGAAGAAAATATTCCAGAAGAACTGAAGTTGCAGCTGATGTCGATGTATTGAGTCCTGACAGAATACAAGTTCATGTCTCAGATTTGAACTAACAAAATAGTTTTTAATCCATCTCACAAATAAGTAATACCTTGGTTTGATGTATCACAGAAGATCCAACACAATACATAAAAACTTAAAGATGTAAAATGACAAAAGGTGAAAAGTATAAGGGAAAAATACTTCTATTGGAAAGTGTATATTGATGCCCAAATTTAAAACAAGACAAAAACGATCAGCCTGAGAAAAACACCTCTAATTTACTGAAGTTAATGCTACAGCATGATACAGAGTCTTTTGAGGAAAACGCTACATTACACAGCTAGGCAGTGCCATAAATAATAATTTTATTTTGACTAAACAAAAAAGCTGTAACCACTGATCTGCAAAAGAAATTAATGCCCGTGACATCATTTAATATTGCTTTTACTTGCCATTATCGACAAAAGCCGTTTTAGTGACAAATTAATTACGCTAATTTTTCATGTGTAAGGCTCTCCATTTTCCTATACTAACGGATTTTTACATAGAAGCTGTGTTTCTGGGACTAAAGTTCGTTTCGACTCTGTTTAAGCAGAGTTCTTTTGAGTCCAACATTCTCGATTATCTAATTTTGTAATAAGGGCTTTTCTTAACTCACCTTCTACTCTTCAATACAGCTGTGAAAAACACCGTGAAAACCTCATGAAACTGTGCACAGAAGACACATTTTGCCATTTGAGACCAACTAGTCAAGCCGGAAATCGGGAGATTTTCTTTCCAAAATAAAAGAAGACAAGCGGTTTTAAATCACACCATAGGCATCAATAATGTTTTAGATCAACGTAGATACATTTATTTGTTACACAGTCATCGGCTAAATGTATTTCTAAAAGTGAAATAGTTGTAGTGAACTTCTTTTTGTGTCGATGTTCTTTTATTGTGAAAGGAAACACTTCGCGGGACAGGGAGAGCTTCTGTTTTTCAACTGAACACTGTTTGACCTATGGCAACCGGTTAGGCTCAAACAACACAAAACAGAAATCCAATTTCGGAAATGTAAACCACAAATATTGATCTTGAGTTTTTAAGCTTTTTTGCAACTTAAAAACTAGAAATCTATTGAACTGAAATTAATAATGTTTTATGGGGAATGCTTTTATTTTCGGTTTTTTACTGCTTTTAGAATACAAGTCTGGATGCTGCTAAACTGCTTTGGTCAATATAAAGTAAAAGTGATCATCTGTTACAAATTTTTTTAAACTTATTTCTTAAAAGCAGCATACTGTATTCTTTAGTAGTTCTTTACCAGAATATTACATCTTGCCTTGGCAATAATTGTCCACTCTTGCATGAAAACAATCTAAATATGTCAGACTGTGAGGACATCTCTTCGCATTCAGGAAACACCACAAACATTTAGAGTTGTACAAAATTTTTATTCAGACTGACAAAAACATGCAGTTCAGTTGAAACAAAATTAACTTCCGATCATGATGCCATATTGCTCTGTTTCAATATGCATGTAGTGTTCTTTTGATGTGGCACATTAATGATGTGCTAAACACATGAATTTGTTTGGTATCATCACATCTCCCACGGGGTTTTAAAAGACATTACAATTGTAACATGTCTAACACAGCCTGTACAGAAAACACTTCTATTTCAAATTTTTGCTGTTGCCTTTGTGGCAGCCTCCATGGCTGGTTTTCAACAATTTTTTAGGGAAACATCAAATTTCAGTATTGTTTTTGGTGTCCCATACATTTCCCCCAATGCTGATGCCTTTTATAACTGTACATTGTGTGGGTAATTTGCTTTGTACCCTTTTCCTGTCTGGAATATTTGTACAATGAAATTATTTTGAGCCACATTACTATGCCTTTAATGAAAAGATGCCAATGATAAGACAATCCTGCCATCAGTGGTAATTCATTTCAAGTTAATCAGACTAACTTTAATAGTTGATAGATGTAAAAGACAACTAAATGTATATGGCTTGTTTTAAATTACAGGAAAGCATTATAGCAGGAGTGTGTACACTTTTGAAATCAGTATGACATTTATATTGTTTTCTGTTGGCTTTATAATTTAATATTCTGTCTCTTTTTTTCTGCCGGAACCTCTTAAACGTCAATCATACTGCCAGAAACCTTAATTTAAAAGGTGACAGATGTAAAAATATTCAAGACAATAATTATCAGAAAAGTTCCTTTGAGTTTCAATCTGTAGTTCTCAGAGTCAAGGTGCAAACTATTGCTCCTATTTAGTTGCACTTTTAAATAAAAGTACAAAAAAATATACTAAGTAAATAAGTATAATCAAAACAATATTGGGGATTATGCACATTCTTGTCACATCTTTTTGTTATGATGATTGACATACTTTACTGAAACAAAAATAAGTTATCATTAAAGCTGCAAGCAGCCTCGAACGGCCCTCGCAGCCAAGCCCCGCTCCGGCCTCTTGCCACCGCGGGGTACTAGCAACCGTCGCCTCACGTCAGCCACCACAGAAGCTCTCACGCAGTTTTCAGCGCCTCCGCCCGCACCGCGGAAGCTGTTGCTCAGTTTAAACTTCTCCAACTCCGGTCCAACAGAGCCTTCTTGCTCAAAAGCGTGGTTCGGATTTGCAACTCCAAAATCCAAGCAAAATGTTGAGCGTAGTCCAGTTCTGTGGCTCCAAAAAGCAAGCAAAATGTTCAGGAAAACTTCGCAGCTCCAGCTGTCGCCGGCTGACTGTTATTACGTAGCGTCGATCTGTTTTCTCATTGATGGAGTACCACTGCCTCCTGCTGTCGCAATACTGGTATTGCACTAGCAGTACCAGTATATCGCCACAAGGTGCCAGTGGTACTCCATCAACACTGACCCCAGTGTTCTTACTTCGCTGTGTCATAAGTTTTGCTGAATGACTTTGTTTGTATTATTTCTAGCAAAAATGAATGAATGTTTGTACTTTAACCCACAAAATAAACTTATATATATATAAAAAGTTATAATAATGTATATTTAAATAATTAATAACAACATAACCTATGGGCTGCTGTTTTCTAGGGGGCGCTATAGAGAAATTAGGCCACGCCCTACAAATATTGTGATGGATTCTAGTCGGGGAGTGGATAAATATTCATCCTTGTGAGTTTGCAGCAGCTGAGCCCGAAAATGTGGTATTGAGAGCCAAACGTATGGCGATGGCGTTACAGGTCACTTCGCCACGCCGCCATGCCCACCTGCTCTATCGAAGCTGGTCGGGTTGGAATCCTCAATACACCAACATGTCTTCTGTGTCTGGGCACAGTTTCATGTTGATGAGGTCAAAGGGGTCAGATAGCGAACGTTCACAGTAAAACATTACACTTCCTGTTCTCAGGGGGCGTGGCCTAAGTGATGTCATCATTCGACCATAGGGTATTCTAGGAGACCCGATGATGATCAATCACTCAAACTTTGGTTCCTCTGTGAGTTTCTGTGTAGGAGATAGCAGTTTATTTTTTATGGGGAGTAGGTGAACTTTGACCCCTGCTAACCCCCCTTCAGCATACTCAAAAACTCACCGTTTTGATAACTTTAGATGGGACATGCCTTATGAACAGACTGACGGAGTTTGAAGCCGATCAATGAAAATCCCTAGGAGGAGTTCGATCAAATAGGAAGGCTGTAAACGGCAAAAATGGGTCAAAATCCAAACTTCAATCCAAAATGGCTGACTTCCTGTGGGGTTTAGACCATGGCTCCAAGAGACTTTTTTGTAAGTCCTGACAAGGTACACACGTGTACAAAGTTTCGTAATTGTAGGTTAAAGCATGGCTTGGGGCTGATCATTTAAAGTGTTCTAGGGGGCGCTATAGAGAAATTAGGCCACACCCACCAAATATTGTGATGGATTCCTGTCGGGGAGTAGATGAGGGTCCATCTTTGTGAAATTGGAGCAGCTGTGCCCAAAAATGTGGAATTGAGAGCCAAACGTATGGCGATGGCGTTACAGGTCACTTCGCCACGCCGCCACGCCCACCTGCTCCATCGAAGCTGGTCGGGGTTGGAATCCTCAATACACCAACATGTTTTCTGTGTCTGGGCACAGTTTCATGTTGATGAGGTCAAAGGGGTCAGATAGCGACAGTTCACAGTAAAACATTACACTTCCTGTTCTCAGGGGGCGTGGCCTAAGTGATGTCATCATTCGACCATAGGGTATTGTAGGGCAGCCGATGATGATCAATCACAGTAACTTTGGTGCCTCTGTGAGTTTCTGTGTAGGAGATATAGCAGTTTATTTTTTTATGGCGAGTAGGTGAACTTTGACCCCTGCTAACCCCCCTTCAGCATACTCAAAAACTCACCGTTTTGATAACTTTAGATGGGACATGCTTTATGAACAGACTGACCGAGTTTGAAGCCGATCAATCGAAATCCCTAGGAGGAGTTCGATCAAATACGAAGGCTGTAAACGGCAAAAATGGGGTGAAAATTTGACCTTCAATCCAAAATGGCTGACTTCCTGTGATACTTGCACTATGACATTAATTGTAAATTTTGAGCATCTTGGGGAGCTCTACAAGTGTACCAAATTTCATGTCTCTACGATGAAGTAAGTGAATAGCAAAGGGTCCTTTGAAAATTTCTAGGTGGCGCTATTGAGCCATTTCTTGTGGAATTTTTGCGACGACTTTAAAATACGTAAATTTGAAACAGGCTTAAGGCCTCCGCCAAGTTTGGTGAGTTTTTGAATATGATAAAGCCCCAAAAAGCCAATTCATTTGGAGGGAGAATCGTAATAATAAGAAACAGTACAGAAACAATAGGCCTTCGCAGCGCTTAGCTGCTCGGGCCTAATAAAAGTAAAACAACAAACATTTTAGATGATGAGATACTATATATATATATATATATATATATATATATATAATATATATATATATATATATATATATATATATATATATATATATATATATATATATTCTTAAAAATATATATTTTGAATTTGACTCGGCTCTAACAAAATGTGATGGTCAAATCCTGTCCTGTTTCAAAACAGTGTTTCTGTTTTATTCATAAGATGCATCTCAGAAAATAAATCTTTAACTTTGTGCTTGTTTCACAATACAATATAAAGATGAAACATTATTTTCTAATGCAAATGTACTTTAAGAAAAGCTGGACAAACTGTAATAAAATATTTTTTTTGTAAAGAAAATGCATTTAAAATCTAAGTGTGACATAAAGTTTTGCTTGCAAATTGAGCTTGAAGTGCAAGCTAAAACTCATGACGCAAATTTTGATGGTGAATTTCAATACTAAAAAGTATTTTATTTTAACATAAAATAATACAAAAATCAAAATATGTCTCAATAAGTTATGTTTTATCGTCTCATTTATGCTTTTGAAAAATCAAAATATACATCCGTTATAAAAACAAATTAAATCAAATAAATTCCCAATTAAATAAAGCAATTAAAAACTTTAGATGCAAACTTTAATTCAATTTAATTGATTTTCTTTTTTTTTTTTTTTTTACACAATTCACCTGAAGACGTCCGGCACGAAGCGGACAAACTTGGCAGAGGAAGTAGCAGATTTATGTTAATGAAGTGAGTTGGGGTCCGGGCTGGGAGCCGCCCTTCATTCACCACATGGTTAAACCCGGACTCTACTCGCGCCACTTTCGCAATCTTACTACGACTCTCGAACTCTTAGCAAATCAAAATAGTAGCACATGGTTGTGCACTTTTACTTTCCCCCCGCTA